CCTACACCTGAGCACAGGGAAGGTAGAAGCAGAGAGAAGGGAAACTCACTATCTACAAACCTCAGACAGCTTGTCCCACAGTAGACTGTACCACTTTCGAAAATGCCTTTTTTTCTTTTTTAAACAACCAATTGTTCCAATCTGGACTTATGGAGAATGTTTCACAGTCAGAGGGATTATTGGGAGGAAAAAAAAAGGGATTATTGGATTCAGCATTTCTATTAGCACAGAAAGCCGGTTGATGAATTTGTACTGAAGAATTATCATAAATACCAAATAAAAACAAATTACTTTCACTCGGGGGCCTCAATCTAAATGGAGCTTAATATGAATCCATGAAGTTTAAGAAACTAAAAATTTTTTGAAAACCAATTATTAAAATGGGGAGGACATCTACACACGTTCCTTGGATATACAGATGTGCCAAACTTCGAGACACTCTTCAGGAAAGAAAGACCTGAGACTAGGCTGAACACAAGTCCAATAATCATATTTGTTGCCACAATCAAAGCCCTGGACCAGAGTCAAAACCTTTGGATCTGAACCTGCATATCAGGAACAGAATACTCTGGACTAACGATGGCAAGAGAAAGGTGAATCCAGGGCCACCAAGAAGAGGATTTGTTTTGGGGTTATCTCCAATGTTACAAGGGCCACTGTCACACACTGCAAGAAATGATCTTCATACTCCATTCCAAGACCTAATGGAGACACAGTTATCTTCAAATAATTATCCCCTGAAAAACAAAAGGGTAGGGACTTCCCTGGTGGTGCAGTGGCTAAGACTCCGCGCTCCCAATGCAAGGGGCCCGAGTTCGATCCCTGGCCAGGGAACTAGATCCCACATGCCGTGGAGCAACTAATAGTTCGCATGCCACAACTAAGGAGCCCACATGCAGCAACTAAGATCCAGAAAAACCAAATAAATAAATAAATATTTTTTAAAAAGGGTGGGGGGCTTCCCTGGTGGCGCAGTGGTTGAGAGTCCGCCTGCCGATACAGGGGACGTGGGTTCATGCCCCGGTCCGGGAAGATCCCACATGCCGCGGAGCGGCTGGGCCCATGAGCCATGGCCGCTGAGCCTGCGCATCCGGAGCCTGTGCTCCATAACGGGAGAGGCCACAACAGTGAGAGGCCCACGTAAAAAAAAAAAAAAAAAAAAAAAAAAAAAAAAAAAAAAAAAGGGGGGGTATTCACTAAGTAGAACACACTGAAAAGTAGCATTAAGTACTTAGTGTAGGGCTTCTCAGGTGGCGCAGTGGTTGAGAATCTGCCTGCTAATGCAGGGGACACGGGTTCGAGCCCTGGTCTGGAAGGAGCCATGGCCGCTGAGCCTGCACGTCTGGAGCCTGTGCTCCGCAACAAGAGGGGCCGCGATAGTGAGAGGCCCGCGCACCACAATGAAGAGTGGCCCCCACTTGCCACAACTGGAGAGAGCCCTCGCACAGAAACGAAGACCCAACACAGCAAAAATAAATTAATTAATTAATAAACTCCTACCCCCAACATCTTCAAAAAAAATAAAGTATTCAGTGTAGTCATACTAAATTGCTGTAACTTTGCCAAGCCTAAATGGCAAGTTAGAAGCCAATTCCTGGCTCCCCTATTTGATAACCTATTTGCCTCCACAGGCATGGTAAGCCAAAATATTAAGAGATCTAAGACTGACACAGACATTAGCAAATGTATCACCTTCTTTCCCTCCTAACATTGTCTTTCTCCATAAAGTTCTATTCAGCATTTTAAAATACCCCTTGATAATAATACCAAGAAGTGCTTGTGAGTTTAGCCTGTGGCTCCCCAGGCTCAAAGGCTTGGGAGTGAGAGTGAGGCGAAAAAAAAAAGTGGGAAAC